GGGACCTCTCACACCAAAGGAAATTAGGGAAATTTTATTTCCCCAAAGGAAACGAGATGTCAGATGCCCAGGAAGCGTTCTTCCAAACAGAGTGCTCCACTACCAACGTGCAACTTAGCGACTTTTATTATAGATACTTTTTTAGAGGTCAGTTGTTCTGTAAAGCAGCTTGCCCAACTTACAYGACAGTAGCTCAGATACACAACATGCTTAATACTCAATAAGCTCCAAGTGCTGAAGCTCTGCAAGAACAAAAAAATAAAAAAAGCAAATAAAAAAGAGGAGTGAAGCAATGGAGCCTTTGCCTCCAGGTTTCTCATGGCCCAAGAGAAACAAACAGCAAGATAACCTTGCTCAGACAGCCATTGGTTTATCCCAGAAATGTTTTTGATCCCGTTTTCACATTGGCCCTAACTTCAGGTAAATCCCCCAGTGGCTCCACAAAGACTCTGGAGCATCTGAGGAGTCTGGAAAGCTGCTTCCGAAACATCTCAGCCCGGCTCAGACTCCTCCACCCCATCCCCAGGGAGGCCACGGCCCATGGTTAGTCTAGACTTGAGCAGCATTAGCACTCCAGCTGCCAGACAGAAACAGGTTAAAAAATCTGAAATTAAGCACAGACAGGGCCACTCCAACCCAAAGATACCTCCCCAGAGCCAGCAGCCATAGGCAAGGTTCACCCGCTAGGAGCTTGCGGGCAACACCCTACACGGGAGGTACAAAACGGCTTCCAACACTGCAGCACGTCTCCCCTCAGCACCCTACACCCACAGGAGCCCACACCAGACCTGGCATTTCTTGAGCACCAAGAAGCAGAGAGCCMCGGCGCTCCTGAGGCTGCTGCTGGGGTTAGGAGGAAGGCTTTAGGAGCCAGTGTTGCCAAAACCAGCCAAATCAGAGCCAAGCCGGGCTGCAGAGCTCCCAGGCATCTCCTCCTGGCCTTGCCTGCTCCTAGTGCTCTCCTCTGGCAGGGTCCTCAGTGCACAGCAGCTGAGGTCTAAGATGGACTTCAGCTGTCCCTTCTAGCTGCACGTGACAAGAGCAAGTTAGAAAAAAAGAGTAGCCCTTAGGCTATCAGGAAAAAGAAAAAAAAAAAAAAGTCACATGCATGCCCAGGACACATCAGAGAAGTTTTAAAGATGGCTTAACCAATTTAACTAGCCTGAAAGGCATGTTCCTACTCCTCTATCCATCAAACGCTCCCAGACTCCATTCGAGTGTCTCTGCAACTCATCCCACCTCCCAGCAAGCCAACTCACCTCAGTAATCAGCTTTCTGTTGGTTCCCCAGCTGAATCCTTACTGAGGGGATAAGGAAAGTCCCGGAGCCAGTGAAAGGAAAGCGAAGGTGGATGGTAGCACCCCTCGCAGCAGCAAGTTGTCACATACTGCAGCTCCGTGCGATCAACGGCCAAGAACGTTGCAGACAATCGGGCATTTATGATTCTTCTAAGAACTCAGGGCAAATGAGTGTTCAGCAGCCGCATCTCCCACCCTCATGTGCTTTTCAAGCACTAGAACACAGTGCAACCTCCATCCTCCACCCCGCCGGGGGGAAAGCAGGATAGGAAACACTTGATTCCAAAACTGGCAGCTATTTGGCAAGCCAAATACTTCAGTATCATAAAGAAAGAGCTATCTAGAATAGGCTTAAAGAAGAAGCAAATGCAACTTACCGTGCAAGGAGGACAGCAGATGACTACAGGGAGATCCAGTAAGCAGCCAATGAGTGCATGAGTCATGAGCACATTTTAGCAAGACCTTACTCTAACTATCACCACGCACTTGGAAAATTACTTAAAGCAGGACTGTGACACAAGGGAGAAGAGCTGCAGGTACCTCCTCAAATACAAGCCTCACATCTTGCTGGGAAATAGGAGGGAGGTAGCTCCAGTCTCCTCGAGCTGTGGCATGATTTTGTGGCAGGCATGGAGAACTTCTGGAAAAGCACTAAAAGAAGGCTGGCATGACTTGAGATGGAGACAACCTGGGCATCTRCACTGGGCCCCAAGGTGCTTTCAGTACGAGGTGTTATTTCCAGGCCACCTATCTCCTGRACAGGCGGACACCCTGAGCTCTGACAGCTCGCAGGCATTTGCAGAGCTGTGCCTCTTTCCTCAGTGTAACGTGTCAAGTAGGAACCTGTCCCCCAGTCAGGGGCCACTAAAAGTAATTCCTAAAGACCTTCTGTACTGCTTTTAATGCATTTGGATTCCCAAAGAACTGTTGCATCTTACTGCACTGAGCACCCTGTTCCTGCTTCTGGACATCACGTTAGCAGCTGCTTGTTCTTCAAGCTTAAGGTCAGGCTGTGCCTCAAGGCAAAAGGAGACTCTTCCAGCTGGCTTGGTCCTCCTGTACACACACCTCCAAATCACAACCGCACAACAAGGGAAGTGCTGCAGGATCCGGGGGAAGGGAAGCAGTGCAGCTTACTGTGTCCGATTTATCTGGACACAGAGCATGCTGAGGAAGTGGGGGACAGTCACCAATGCAGCCRGTGGCCCAGCCATGGTCTGCACGCCACCAGCAGTGCTCAGAAGGTGCCTGCTCTACAACACACACACAAGGCTCTCTTCTCTCGGTCACCTGTGGAGACAGCAGTTGACTTCCACAGAACATTAAATAAGCAGAATGAGCCCAGCAAAAAACCAAGACCACAAAGACCTACGGTTAGGCAAAAGCCTAGATGACAACCAGAATTCACAGCAGGACCAGTGTGGCAGCACATCCAGACAGATTTGGCCCACACAGTGCTCATTGCCCAAATAATGCAAATCCCCCGAGACAGCTTGATTTTTTTTCCCTCCCAGAACAGTACAATTATGGAAACGTTCAAAAAGAATAAAATAAAAAACTATGGAGACAGTCTCACGGCGTACAACAAAAAAATAAGGATCCACGGTTCTTCTAACGAAACTGCAAACGTGCACTGGGTTTTTAGTGAGTAAATGGAAATCATGCTGACATGCAATTGTTCCACCCCCGGGTTCGCCTTCACACATTTCTCATGGGTCAATTTTAAAGAATCGAGTCTTGTTCAGCTAAACATCTGGTGGCTGTTGCTAGAGGAAACAGACTATCTGCAACATTCGAGCCGAAATAATGAGTTACATAAAAGCAGGCGGCATAAGCAAGAACAAGTGTTTTGCCAGCACATGCATCTCAAGCATTGCATGAAATACTACGCTTAATTTGAGGGTTCGAATACAACATTACTGGCTGCAATGCACATAGATGAACCTCAGAGATCCAAATTCTTTAAGTCCATGAAAATAAAACCATGCTCTGCTATAATCAATGCGCTATAGCCAGGAGTTGTCGTAAACATTTTTTGGAAACAGCTCTGCTAGAGAAAGGGGAATTACAGGTTAAAAGGAGCCCGGGGTTCAGCTCTGGGCATCTTCAGATTTATACCAAGTCAGCATGAGTTGAGAAGCTATTGCAAGACGTATTTTTGTCATTTACACATTTGTTAGGAAGGGCCTTAAGCCAAGCAGGTAATTTTTCTCAATAATACAGAGCATCTTTTCAGTCCCTGTCCTYTTTTCCTTGGGATTTATCAGGACTTGAGTCCAATGCCCAAAAGATAAAGATGCACAGCACTGCACTAGAGGCCCCATTCTGTGAGAAGAGCTGGTGGCTGAGAAGAAGCTCTGAGGACATCACCTTCTGAAGCCCAAAGACCACCCCAGAAGTCTTGCAAGATTACAGGTCTCTTCTATGGGTGTTACAGACCACGAAGCCTCCCATGAAGAGGCGCAGCATTCCTGAGAACATCTTAAGCAGCGTAACAGTAATATACTGGAAATTGCACTTCACAGTATGTACTTTTTCTACAAATAGATAGCACTGCTCTTTGAGGAGAGCTTGAGCACTTAAATAATCCAGAAGCCTGATGGATGACTAATACAACCAGAGAGCTTCGAGCACAGGAGGATATTTTCAGTAGCACTCACTCATCAGGACCGATCGCAACATGGAGCTGGTGAACAGCAGAGGCACCCAAGGTTTTCACTGCCGTCTCCTTTTATGTTTTTCTCTCCAAAAACTCACTAAGACTTTGGTTGCAACTTCCTCCAGCAATCCACAGGAGGGAGAAGCCCACTCTTCAACCATCTCCCCATCTCCAAYTGCTTTGGTGGCACAGCTATCTTCTACATGTCACTGATGGAGCAGGTCTATCTCATATCASCATGCACTGAATCTATGGCCATTTTGTAGAAATACTCCAAAACAGCATTTATTGAGCACAGTAAAGATATATCCTATGAGCAACTAAGACAGATTTTTATTTTCAGCTTCAGGTAGCAGGCAGTAAAGTGTCCTGCATACCCTGCAGTCAAACACCTTCACCTAGGGTGTTACTCCCTTTGCTCTGAGTTCTGCAAATAAAGTTTTCCAATATCTTTCATTTTTAGTTTTCTGCTTATTTCGTAACAAAGATAAAGCACTTCTAGAGAAGCTTCAATTCCTCACGAAAGACTTTGGACTCTCCCCTAGTTTCTGTTCTATCCAACTTGAATAACATCCCTATTTGAGRCACAAAGCACTCGCAGTCATTCTTGCAGTTACCTGGTTTCCAGTTCTCAGCACAAGCGTTTCTACAGCTAAAGCTAGGGAAATTCCATAAGGAAATACAATTTACATTAAGTTTCCAGGCAAACTGTTTTGTTTTTCACCAGAAATAAAGCAAAACCAATATAGAACTGACAAAATGAATAATAGAAACATGGAATAAAAACTGAACAGCTTTCATTCAGATCTCTAAGCATTCTCTCACAGGCTTGAAGGATACTCTGTACTCTGGGTAGCTGCTCTTGAATTTTATAGCACTCCCCTTATACTTTATATGTGTGTATTATACATGTATACTTCATATGTGTATATACACACACACACACATATATACATACCTACACACACACACATTTTTAAAAGCAATGAAGATGGGAGTTGCATGCTAAGACCTTTCGGAATCTCAAGGCAAATTCTACTCACCATATGTTTCGTAATTCACTTGTCTCTATTATTCGAAATCACAGCGTAAGCGAGTACGGGGCTATGGGAGCAGTACAGCAGCTAGCCAGTCATACCTGTAGCAATTTAAGAGAAAAAAAAAAGGAAAGAAAAAAAAATCAGACATTTTAGAAAGTCTAAGTGCAGCAGCTTCCAATCTTGCTTTACACTTTCGGGAGCCAAACACCCCTTCCTATAGAAAAGTCCAAGATTGCAGCTTACTCCAAATCAGGACATGAGTTTTCACGCAAAAGACGATCGTGTTTTCTGAACATCCGGATGTTTCYGACTGCTCTGTGCTTCTGGGTTATGTTTTCAGGAAGCTGCTTCCTCACCCTGGCAAACAGGTTCGCAAACCTGAACTCCCAAGTGCAGCGAGCCCTGCGCAGACTACATCTCCTGTGATGCTCCAGGCCCTTTGGTCAGAAGAGAGCTCATTGGGGTGGTTTGTGTTTGTTCCTTTTCTCCCTGGTCCTCAAATAATATTTTGTAGGGCAGGACAGCGGGTAAACCCCAGTTCCTAACAAGGAGTGCTCCATAACACAAGACTAAACCTGACAACAAGGCTAAACCAAAATGAAACCATTCCAAGTGTTTCTGGAAAGCAACCATGCCCTGCACAGCTAGATACTGGTTGCTTCATTTCCCATTCAATACTTTGTCATCAAACTCTCTTTGGAGAAGAATGGACTGTTCAAACCAAAACAAATTAAAAAACAAGCAGATTCGAGACTTGAAGAGCCCTAGCAGCCATCTAAAGACAGGTTTATGTGACACACCAAAATACCAAGTCAGACTCTAATGTGTTCTAAGGAGCCTGSGATCTGGAGTACCAAAGGGCATTCAAAGCCTATCCCTAAGCTAGAGCTTTTCTTCTTAACTTCCAAATGTTTTACAACAGAAGTAAAAATTTGAGGGCCCATATGGTTACCCATATGAGGGCTACCACTGGTTCCATAAGCACATGATGAGGAACACAGCCCTGTGCTCTACATCATCAAGAACAGTATCTTGCYGCTTTCTCCAACAGCAAGTACAAGACACATCGAAATTACGATCCCCAAGAGCCACCACTTTGACCGAAGCGCACAGGAATCTAGGTCTACCATTGCCCTGTAGTTTTATAATCTTCTTGTCAGGCCAGTCCAAGTCGCATACGCTCTCTCCGCGTYCCTGGTGATTCCTTCCCTTGAGAAGCTATGGGCTTGCTCAACCGCATCGTAAGAGCCTTCAAAAAGGCTCTTCAAAAACAAGCTCACAGCAGCCATCGTTATTAATCCTTGACTTTAACTACGCAGAACCAACCCATGAGTGAAGCCAGGTGCTGGGCTAAGGAAAACACATCACTTGAGGCTTCAGCTCGTAAGGTTAAGCGACATTCATCCCTCCAAAATAGAAACACTGAATATAGTCCCCTGCATCAGGCTTCTTTTACAGCATTAAAGAAAACCTCAGAGTTTGTCATCAAGCAAAATTGGATTATTTGACCCGGTCAAAGCAAGAAAGAACCAGCCAAACTCGCACCCAGCTAAACCACAGAGGACACGCGAGCAGCTACAGTCACCTTCTCGATGACTTGACCATGCAGTCCCAACAGTGCCCCTGGGCAAGGAATGGAAGGACCATCCCACCAACTTGACACGTCGCCTACCTAAACGCTGAACACCTTTTAACCTGGAGAAGGTTGCTCTTTTTTCCACCTTAATCACACCCCAACGCCGCAGTTTGGGAGAGTGGGGGGGAAGTACTGCAGAGAAATGCCGTTTTGGGATCTTTGGGCAAAAACGACCTCCGTTAATATAAATAACAGCCTCCAAGAAGTACTGGCACCTGCAAACACAGCAGCTAAGCGGAAGAATCTATTTATAATATGCTCTAAATTACAATTATTTACTTAAGGAATAAAAAGCAAATAAATCATCTCGAGCTCTGCTAGGGTTAAGGCCCGATGCCAGGAATTGCACATTGTTCACGTTCTGCTGGAGGACRAGAACACAAGCGCATTATGGACGAGTCAAGGTGCAACTTAATCCACGCTCTGGGTCAGTCCCTGCGACTTCCTGCTAGCAGGGCCAAGCTACAAAACTCCATTTGTGCCTGGGAAAACCAACCTGCCCAGAGACCTTTCAACCCGCAGCAAACAGGACTCCTCCCATGTTCCCATAACAGCAAGTTCTCAGGTGGGACTCTCAGTCTCAAGAGAGCACTGGAGGTTCAAAGGATGAGGAGCTCCCTCACCTTCTGTCCCAGTCCGACACCAAAGGCACTGGGCTCATCCAGAAGCCCTGTGTGCTACCGAGATCTCTCAAGCCAAGCGTGAGGGACCTCACAGTAACAAGAAGGTCTTGGCTCACAATTGCTGCACACATCAGAGGAGCAAGCTAGATGAGAAGCCAGAAACCTTACTCAGCTGCTAATACGGCATGAAACAGAAAGCCAACCCTTGTAGCAATGGCCAAGGAGCACGGATAAGTAGGCAACCAGGTCGCTGCATAAGCTTATCACGGCAACAAGCTCCATTTCGTCTTACGTTTTAGGAAGGCTGAACAGCTTATGYAGAACAAAAGGGGCTTGTGCCTCTTCTCGAGGAGCAGATCAAGATGGTGGAGAGAGCTGCGACGGCAAGAGGGAATGAGAACGAAGGAGGTAGTCTGAAACCAACAACAGCCAGAAGGACATTTTCCAGCTTTTGACAGATAATTAAGCTTCTGCATGCTAATTAGTACCTCCAGCCACTTGGCCCATTTCCTGTGACATCCCCTCGACAGCACCAGCTAGGCCTTAAGGCTAGTGACACACGTGCCAGGTTGAACTGCTCGGACCGCAGCTTCGTACAATGCCACGGAAGGAATTCAGCATCTGGAATCAACAAGGCTGCTTTGGTTTCCCTGAAAAAAACGCCTCAGGCAAAGAGCAAAGATGTGTTTTACAGAATGCCAGAAGCGGAGGGGTGGGAAGCAGCGGCGGGCCGGGCAGAGGGCCCGGGCACCTGTGCTCAGGACAGGCTCCTGTTCCCCACGCACCTCTGCCCRCACGCCGAGGGCCGCAGCGCTCGGACAAACACCATCCCACTGACCGGAGTGCTCCRTGGGCAGCGCGACCCGCGCCCGGCCGCCAGCAAGAGGCGAAGGCCACACCAGCAGCTCTGAGCTTTGCTAGATGTGGGKTTTTTTTCCCCCCCCCATTATTTTTCAAAGCTGGGATGAGACGAGACGCCAGCTTCTGAGCTCTAGTTGCGACAGAGTAAAAACTAGTGTCCCTGAAGGCAACTCATGAATAGATAATATTTGCTACCTTTGAGTACACAGGCAGATCTTTCATCTCCTCGGGGAGCCGGTGGGATCTGTGCCAGGCAGAACAGAGACGGGATTTCCAGAGACTGTGCTTTCTAGTTTGGGCTCTACGGCAGATACTCTTTGGCTCCCAGAGGAGGACGGATCTTCTGTCACAGCCGGGAAGATGACTCCACAAAACCCTGCCTTATTAGCTCTCTCGGGATGCTGGTCCACAGACAGTTTGGAGGTTTTTTTGTACTTCATCTCATTATTTTATTACCAGGAAGGAGCACAAAACTCTGAATAATCCTTAGAAAAAACTCTGTATTTAGTCTTGAGGCTCCTATAATCTTACCAAACGAAAGCAACGCAGCACGAGCAAGACAAATCCAACCCAAAGGAGGTTTCTCCACCACGACGCCTTCACACAATGGTTAAGAACRGCATTAAACGCCGGAGCAAAGCGCTCACGGCCAGTGCGATGCTCCAGCGCTCGTCCCAGGCCGAACAATAGGAAGTTTGTTCGGCCGCGCACCCAGCTTGGATGGGCTCTCCAAAGCCAACGCAGTTGCTCTTCAAACGAGCCTCTGTGAGCCTTGGCTCCGCATACGGGCACGTCAGCACATTTCATGCCACGCCGCTCTGCGCCCATATGGAGAAATGAGGTCTTTGAAGACTATTCCTGGTGYGCCAGAAAGTCTTCTCAGGAGAGCTCAGCACCATCACAGCGTTTGGGCGTAATACCTGGCCCGTATTACTAATTACTATTAACCGTTTTAAATCTCTGCCTATGTGGAGCTTCGTCTTCCCTATGGGAAGTCATCATTTTTCTCAACAACAGAAAGGCACAAACAGTCTCAAGGAAAACACCACGTTCTGCAGCTTCGTCCCACCACCCAGTATTTCAGTGTCCCCCACATACAGATCTTTAGCCTGAAGGGTTACCAAAAATGTCTGAAACACTTAAAATAGCAAAGACAGCCCCCCCAAAAACTAATACATTTACAAACTTTAAAAAGTATTARCAGTTTTAAAGACTCCAGAGATCTAAAGCACTTTAGAGGCAGTGGGGAAGCCAGCAAGAGCACTGTACTGCTAAAGTCTCAGCCCAAAAACGCAACTTTAATGGTCAAAAGCAAAAAAYGATGAGTTTGTAAAGTGAAACATTGCTTGCCTATTCTGCCAATATACAAGGAATGTCTTGATGCCGTGACAATTCAGATTTCACCAATTTTAAGCTGCATGTTACGTGCAAGTGCAAAAGGGTGAAGAAGGAGAGAGGAAGGATCACCAAAACCACATCGTTCCACGTACATTTCTTCTCAAATCCACTGCCAGGTTAAGGCAGCTCTTAATGCCCTTGGCCTTGTTCCCCTCACACGTTTGCTAATGGCGTGATCGCACTGGACACATGCTTTAAATATTCATTTTATCATCTTCYCCAAGATTGGTTGCCTGATCTGCTTCATCCCATCACCTTACATGACAGCAGGATCAACACAGCCAAGAACTACAGAGGGCTGAGGACCCATTTTAGCAAGGAAGCTGCTAGGTATGTGACCATACCCAGAACTGAACCTAAGAACAAGACCCATCTGGCTTAGTTTCTTGTTTGAAACCGTAAGTAGATGCCTGGGAAAGAGAAAGAAGAAGGTCACCTCAAAGGAAGGCAAAGAAATGGGGCTTGTTATRAGGCTTCTCCTGGAGAAAGAGGGCTATCAATCAAGTAGTGTTGATTAATGGTCTGCATATGCTGCAGCTTCAGACAGAAGCACTGAAAAGGACCATGTGCCTTTACTGAA